GCCGCCGCCTGGGTCCAGCCACGCCCGCACCTTCTTCTGCAGCTTCTCCTGCACTGTCTTCACCTTTGGCCAGACTGGCTCCGGGAAGACCTATACCCTGACTGGACCCCCTCCCCAGGTGGGCCGAGCGCAGCGGCGCCCACCGCGGGTCGGGGCTGGGTGGGCTGGAAGCCTTCCGGAGCCGCAGGCCGTGGCGACTCCCAGAGGGAAGGGCGGGGACGATGCAGTCTGCGCCATGTATTTGCAGACAGGGACACTGAGGACCGGAGAGAAGGGACTTTCCCCATTTGGAGCATTTGGGTGCGCATGGTGGGCTCTTTGCTTACTAGCTCTCAGTTTCTTCATCTGTAAAATGGAAGTGACAATACTGTTGTGAGAATTAAATGAGGTATTACACACGACTCCTAGCGCGCAGGACCGTGCTCTACAGAGAGTAGTTCTTTCTGGGGAGACAATGATGATGACCAGCTCCTGGCTCAGCTGCTTCTGCCCCCAGGGAGAGGGGGTGCCCGTGCCCCCAAGCCTGGCTGGCATCATGCAGAGGACATTCGCGTGGCTGTTCGACCGCGTGCGGTACCTGGGTGCCCCTGTCATCCTTCGAGCTTCCTATCTGGAGATCTACAATGAGCAGGTAGTGACATGAACGGAAAAGACCATAAGGAGACCAGGAGACGGAGTGTGGGTCAGGGGCAGAAGGAGAGGTGGGGACTGCTGTCAGGAAGGCCTGGGGGCGGGTGGAACTTGGACTCAAAGAGCCCTGCCCCTCACCCTCCTCCCTCACCTCCCAGGTTCGAGACTTGCTGAGCCTGGGGTCTCCCAGGCCCCTCTTGGTTCGCTGGAACAAAGCGCGGGGCTTCTACGTGGAACAGCTGCGGCTGGTGGAGTTTGGGAGTCTGGAGGCCCTGATGGAACTTCTGCAGACGGGTGCGGGCTACTTCGCAGGAGCTTTGGGGGTGGGGATGCCCATTTCTCAGCCATTCGCTGAGCGTGGCCTTAGGTCCAAGCTGCAACCGTGGCTTCAGAAATGACTCTTGTGGGGGCAAAGGACCAGCAAAGCAGCAATTCAAAGGCATGGCCCAAGGATATCCCCTGCCCCACTGCTGCCCAGGGCTTGCTGACTCTACCCTCCGAACGCCTCGGGCCCATGCCTCTTGTCCAGCCCAGGGCCTCTGCCTCAGCCTGGACTCAGTCTTGCTCCCTAGAGAAGCCTCTGCACCTTAAGGCTCTCCCTGCCAGGCCATTATCCATGATGCACACCACACCCTGTCCAGCCTCATTGATTATTTCATCAAATATTTGCTGGGCATCCTTCCTCTGGCAGGCACTGGGGACACTGAGACTCTGGATTCTGGCCCCAGCATTGTGCCACACCTCTCAGCTGTTTTCTCTGCTTCAGTTTTTCTCCCTGCCTCCACACAGCAATGGGAGAGACGTTTATTAAAATTTGTGTCTGGCTGTCATTGTGCTCAGTCCTCTCTATCCCCTTTCACCGATCCTTGCTAGAGCCAGACCCGATATCCTGTCATTCCCTGAACCAGCACGCACTCTCCTGCCACTCTACCACTGTGTGGGCCGGTCCATCTGCCAGGACTCCTTGGCTCCGTTGTCTTCACTGGTCATATTTCTCCCCTCCAGGTCTCAGCCGTCGAAGGAGCTCAGCACACACCCTGAACCAGGCCTCCAGCCGAAGCCATGCCCTGCTCACCGTCTATATCAGCCGCCATGCTGTGAGTGCCCTGACCTGGGCGGGCGCTGGCCCAGGGCCACCCAGCAGGGGTCTGCATTCGAGTTGGGTGTGCATGGGGAGGGTCAGAGTGGAAACCCTCGGCCTTGTGACACTGTGACTTTGATAGGGACAGTCCTTTCCCAGTCTCCGTGAAGCTCTGCCCCCTCAGGCCCAGCAGATGCCTCCTGTGGACCCCGGGGAGCCCCCAGTTGGTGGGAAGCTGTGCTTTGTCGACCTGGCCGGCAGTGAGAAGGTAGCAGCCACGGGATCCCGTGGGGAGCTGATGCTGGAAGCCAACAGCATCAACCGTAGCCTGCTGGCCCTGGGTGAGACCTGTGGGCGGCCATTCTCATTTCCCCAGTCCCTCCTCTGCCCTGGCCAGAGCTGTCCACGGCAGGGGATACCGGAAGAGTCGTAGTGCACAGACGAGGACTAAAGAGCTGTGATGGGGCCAGGGTGGGGACTTACACTTGTAATCCCAGTACTTTGGGAGGCTGAGGCAAGGGGATCGCTTGCGCCCAGGAATTTGAGACCAGCCTGGGTAACATAGTGAGACCTCATCTCTATAAAAAAGTTGAAAAATTTAGCCAGGTGTGGTGGTGCATGCCTGTAGTCCCAGCTATTCAGGAGGCTGAGGTGAGCAGATCGCTGCAATCACACCCCTGCACGCCAGCCTGGGTGACAGCCTGAGACCCCAACTCAAGAAATAAAAATAAAAAAAGCTGTGATCCAGGAGACAGAGGCCTCCTTCTGGCCCAGCTCTGCTGTTGACTCCCCATCTGAGAACACAGATTATGATTCCATGTGCTCGTGGATCTAATTTTGGGGGTAGAAGTACTCAGCCGCAGGGGCTGAGCCCTCAGAGACAGTCGATGTGTCCCTTGTGCCCTTGGGAAGAGGGAGATCCAGTGAGGGGAAGGGAAATGGCCTGTCTCCCACCCCTGCCCCAGGTTGTTGAACCTCGGGATCCTGGAGGGCTGGGGCAGCATTCCTCTGTGGTGAGCACAGGAGATGCGCACAGGACTCCTGTTTGCTTCCTGAGTCCCACAAAGGCTAGACCCTTGGCTGGGCATTGGGGATTGGAGTGTACAGGGCCATCTCTGTCCTGCCCTAGCCTGGCGGTGGAAACCAGCCTGAATGAGCAGTGAAATCGTGTGGAAAGGTTTTTAGAGTCACCTAGGCCTGGCGGGAGATCCCGGCTCTGCAGCCTCCCCACTGAGTGGCCTGGGGCCAGTGGTATGACCTTTCTGGGCCTTGCTCTCCCTACCCAGGTCACTGCATCTCCCTGCTGCTGGACCCTCAGCGGAAGCAGAGCCACATCCCTTTCCGGGACAGCAAGCTCACCAAGTTGCTGGCTGACTCGCTGGGGGGGCGTGGGGTCACCCTCATGGTACCCAGACGGGGCCTGGCGGGGAGGGCTGGGTCCTGAGGCAGGGGCTTCGAGAGGGGAGCACTCATGGGGAGTCCTCCCCAGGTGGCCTGCGTGTCCCCCTCAGCCCAGTGCCTTCCGGAGACTCTCAGCACCCTGCGATATGCAAGCCGTGCTCAGCGGGTCACCACCCGGCCGCAGGCCCCCAAGGTGAGCGGAGGGAGACGCAGGCAGAGGGGCAGACCCAGGAGATGGTGGGGGATCAGGCCTGCACTGGCGTCCTGGCTGAAGCTGAGGTTAGGGCTGGACTTCTGGAAATGGGGTCATGGCTGGGTAGGGTAGGGTAGGGCCAGGGGTCATGGGCAGGATTAGGGCAGAAGTTGTGTTGAAATATGAGTGAGGATGTGATTCAGGTACCATGCAAAATCCCAGATGGTGTCATGGCTAAGTCTGAGTTGATTTGGAGTCTGAGGGAGGGTCTTGTTTAGGGTCCAAATCTGAGGTTGGACAGAACTGAGTTTGGGACTGGATTAGAGCCAGGTTCAGCTTAGAGTGGGACCCTCCAGGATAGTGCAGTTAGGAAAAAGCATCCCTCCAGGTAGATGCAGCCTTGTGGCAAGACGCAAGGCTGGCAGGTGGGGCACAGGCTGAATTTTTGGCCCCAGTCATTTCCCACACCTGCAGCCCTTGTGCAGTGCACAACTTGCACGACCATCACGGGCAGCTCTAGGCCCCTTTCTCTGCAGTCTCCTGGGGCAAAGCAGCACCAGCGTCTGGAGAAGGAGATGCTGCAGCTCCAGGAGGAGAACCGCCGCCTGCAGTTCCAGCTGGACCAAGTGGACCACAAGGGTATGAGCTTCCTAGGGGCAGAGCAGGATGGGGATGGGCTCTAGTGCTGCTGTGGATCCCACCCTTTCCTGCTTCCCTACAGCCCTGGGTCTCGGTGGGGCCCGGGTGGCCTGGGCCCAGCGGAACCTCTATGGGATGCTGCAGGAGTTCATGCTGGAGAATGAAAGACTCAGGTAGGGCCAGCCCATGGCCAGGACCCATCACACCGCCTGGCTGCTTCAGCTAGCCTGCCCGCCATCTCCTGTCCCTGGTTCCCCTCCGTTTGCACCTGCCCCCTGGAACTGATGCTAGCCTGAGCAGCCCGGCTCCTCTCCCCTTCCTGGGTCCTGCCCTCCCCCAGGAAAGAAAAGAGCCAGCTTCAGAGCAGTCGAGACCTGGCCCAGAATGAGCAGTGTGTCCTGGCCCGGCAGGTCCAGGAGCTGGAGAGGTGAGCAGGGCTGCCGGGCTGAAGCCTGGCCCCCGGACGGGGTGACTGGGGGAGGGGCTGGGAAAGAGTCTGACTGCTGATCCAGACCACCTGGGCTCAGCTTCCAGCTCTGCCACCCGTTGGCTTTGTCACCTGGCGAAAGTCACTGAACTTGCTATGCAGGTTTCCCCCTCTGTAAAATGGGGTTCCAGTTGTGCCTGCATTGTAGGCCTGTTGTGGAGGTTGGAGAGGAAGGGTGAATACAGAGCACGCTGCAGGAGTACCTGTGGAGACAGGGAGGCCACCCAGGGGCAGGGGTGGGGCTGCAGGCACAGACACCACTGCTCTCTCTAGGCGACTCCTCTCTGCCTGCTGTCGTCACCTGCCAGGCCCTGGCCTGGTCCCACAGTGTCCTTGCTTGATGGTCCCAGCTCCCCCCTGCCACGTGAGTCTCACCACCCAGCCTTCGGGGGTGGCCGGCCGGGACGTCCCGGAGCCTCTGACGTGCCTTCCTGCAGGCCCTTCCGCCCCTCTGCTCCTGCCCCTGCTGCCACCTCTGCCCCATGTGCCGCACACCCCCAGCCCACTGGGCCTGCCCGCAGAGGGAGCACCGCCTGCCGCAGGTAGGAAAGGCGGGGTGGGAAGGGGGAAGGCTGAGAGGATCCGAGGCCTTGATCTAGGAGTCAGCGCTCCTGGAGGTGCCAGAGCCCAGGGAGTTCAGGGGTCCAGGCTGGATGGTGGGGAGTGAATGCTGGCTTGGGGTGTGCTCTGCCAGGGTTTGGAATTGCTGTTTGCCTGGCCTCCCTCCTACCAGCCTTCCTTTAGGAACTCACTCAGTCATTCACTTATTAATTCACTTCATATTTGTTTGTATATGTATTTGCTTATTCATGCACTCACTCCTTCAGTAATGATCTTCTGAGCTCCCTGCGCTGTGCCAGCCTCTACTCTTGGCTCTGGGGATTCAGAAATAGATCAGACGTGGTTCCTGCCCTTGGGGAGCTTCTAGTCTTAGGAGAGAACATTATAAGACCCACCTGCTGCCCACGGAAGAAAGCGGCCAGGCCCCCACCTCCCCATGCCCTCTTGACCTTCTTGGCACCCTGTGGGGCAGGCCTGGTCGGGGGCATGGCCAGTATCAGGGAAGTGGGACCCAGGGGGCAGGGCTGAGACCTCCAGTGTGGGTGCTGGTCTTTTCTGCAGGTGGTGGTCCCTGAGGCACCGGGCAGCAGGCCCCCATCTGCCCGACCCCCACCCTGGGCACCCCCTTGCAGCCCTGGCTCTGCCAAGTGCCCGAGAGAGAGGTGGGCCTGGCCCTGGGGCGCTGGGGTTGGGGAGGAGAAGGCCTGGGGGACTCAAAGGCTCACCTCCCACCTCCTCCCGGCACAGGAGTCACAGCGCCTGGACTCAGACCCGAGTCTTGGCAGAGATGCTGACTGAGGAGGAGGTGGTACCCTCTGCACCCCCTATGCCCATGGGGCCCCTGAACACATCACCGGTGCTGAGAGGTGAAGAAGGGAAAGAGGGAGGGGCCCCTAGTGTTCTCTGTGATCTTGGCCCAGAACTCACCCTCTCCAGGCCTCAGTCTTCCCACCTCTGAAATGGGGTGGGTATTAATGAGGTGATTTCTAAGATCTTTCTAGTTCCCAAACCTGGAATAACCTTTTGGGGACCACCTGTGTGCCCAGATGTCAGATGGGGCTGGGTGCAGAGGGCCCAAGGGAGGGCAGGGCTGGAGTCTCACTGCTCCTTAGGTGGGGCAGGTGCTCCAAACCTGGCTCAGAGACTGGAGGCCCTCAGAGACCAGATTGGCAGCTCCCTGCGACGTGGCCGCAGCCAGCGCCCCCTCACCAAGGATGCACGGAGCCCAGGCCGGGCCCTCCCTCCCTGCTGAAGGCGACATTGAAACCCAGAGGCTGTGTGTGTGACCTCCGCTGGGCTCTGCGCTCTTGGGCTTCAGCCTCCCCAGCCGCTGAATGGGGGTAGCAGCTGCTGTACCCCGCAGCGGGGCTGAGATGGGGGTGGCTGTAGGGGCTCTTTGAGGGAGAAAGGGGAAATACTGCTTGGCCATGAGAAGTGACATTGGCTTCAGGAGAAACAGATGGCTAGGGATGAGATATATGAATAAAGATTGGCGTCAGACCCGAGTCTGGTTGGTTCTGTCCGAGGGGAGGCTGTGCGTCCCCTTCTGATCTGGAATGTCCCAGGCCCCTATCTGCTGTCATTCTACATGGGCAGCTACTGAGCCAGGGGGAATCAGGTAGTGTGAGTCTCCATGCTGGGGGCTTGAGGGAAACGCATTTGGCCTTGAGCCGGTGCAGATGGGTGGTGGGAATCTCGCTCACTCTGTATCACCCTGTGTCCTGGTGTGGGTGGGCTCAGGAGCCTGGCTTTTTATGCTGTAGACCTGCTCTGGGGCTCTGGGCAAGCCCTCCACCCTCTCTGGGCCACTCTGGCTTTCAGTTGATTACATGGGGGACACAACTCCCTGTCCCGTTGAGTTCTAAGAAGGGTAAGGGTGTGGGAATGTCATGACTCCTGGCATAAGTGCCCCATAGGATGCAGGGGGTTTATGCTCCTGGGGAAATGCAGGTGTGACATGAGGTGTTAGGGGTGAAAGGGGGAGTGCCCATCACAGAAAGAGCCATGAGGCTAACCTGACTCTCCCACTCACAGTTACATGGTTCATTTGTTTGTTGACTAATTCATTCAACAAGTACCACGGGCATCAACTGCAAATCAAGCTATAAAGTGGCAAAGAAGACCAGCCAAGGCCAAGGTGGCCTTGCACAGGGAGCTCACAGTCTGGTGGGGGCCAGACAGACATTCACAAGCTCGCACGGGCTTTGCTGGGGAAGCCCAGGGGACTTGCAGAGGTACAAAGGAGGGACGTGATCAGTGATCATTGAAGATGTCAGCAAAGGTTTGCAAGGAAGCCATGGTTAAGGCCTGGAGAGGCAAAGGCCTCGAGACCCCTGCGGTCCCAAAGCTTATCAGGGCCAGGAAATGCAGGGGCTTCTAGACCACAGAGTCTGAGTTTGTGACCGGGCAAAGGGGAGCTGTGGGAGGGTCTAGAGGCGTCACTAGCCTAGATTTTCCTTCAGATCACGCTGGCCACTTGTGGGAGGTGGCCTGCTTGGCAGGAGGGAGCTGGAGGAAGAGGACCCTATAGAGACCAGCTCCAACTGATGAGACGCCTCATTCGGCAGTGCCTGAGCCAGGCCTGACTGGGCATCTCTTGAGACCTGCGCCGTGGGCTCCAGCAAGGCCCAGGCAGGCCAGTGGTAGTCACAGACGAGATTCCCTTAGGGAAGAGCGGATGAAGGCCCCAAGGACCAGCTAGGGAGTGACTGGAGAGTGTCTGGGAGCCCGCAGATGCTGGAGAGAGGTCATAGGTGCCATCTGGAACAGTACTCCAACTGGCCACTGTGCTCTGCAGTCCTGGCCTGAGAAAATCAGGACCTGTGTCCCCCATTGCACTCCCCAGCGTAGGCTCAAGCAAGGAAAGACGTGGTGTTCTGGTACTCACTGTCCTGGAAGGTAGCTCTGGGATGTTCTCCTTTCTCTCCAGTGGAATGAGAACCCAAAGATAAAATCAAGGTGCCTTAAGACTACTTGAGTGTGCTGTGTGACTTGGGACAGGCTGTTGGGTCTCTCTGAGCCTCCCTCCCTTGACTCCTGAGTCTATGCAGGGCTGGTCCCTGAAGCTGGGACTGGCAGGGGCAGCCCAATTTGGAACCCCTCATGGCCAGGAATTGAGAGACAACGCTTGTGACTGGGCATTAGTGGTGTTCAACCATGGCGGCCTCCTGGAAGGCCAGGCTCTGTGGAGGCAGAGCCCAGGGAGAAAGGGTCATGGTCAGACAGAACCAGACCAGGTAGAGCAGGCTGTGCTGAAGCCCACGGACCAAGCCAGCCCAAGTTCAAGTCCTGGTGTCATACGACCACTATGTATGCCAGACCTGTCCCTGGCCATCAGTGACATCTACACAAGCAAGGAACATCCTTGACAGTCAAGTGAAGGCATCTTCCTCAAGAACTTCCATTCAGCTGGCAGCTCTGGTCATGTGATCTCCCTCTTTTCATGTGTCTGCTAACCTTGAGAGATCCTGGGCAAGTGACTTACCTGCTCTGAGCCCAAGTTGCCCCATGTCCAAAATGGGCACAGTAACAAAGCTGTCATATGGACTAAGTTCCCTGACACGTGGAGAGAGTGTAGCATGCGACTTTGCCTGTTGCAGACAGTTTAGCCAAAAACACCTTTGAGTCAACAGGGCAATTTGGTGGAATTGACAATCTGAGTTCCAAACGCGCACACACACACACACACAAACATTCAGTAAACATGTATTGAGAACCTGCTTTGGGCTAGCCCTGAATAAAGCATAAGAAACCGTATCCTCAGGGGACACAAACAATAAACAAGAAAGTGGGCAAAATTTGTGGCACATCAGATGGTGATGAATGCTCCTCCCACTCCCCCAGAACCCTTATCTCACTGCTGTGGCCCTGCATGCTGGGAGGTCTTCAGCCTCAGGCGGGGGAGACCCCTGGCACAGAGCGTGGGAGCTCTGCTGAGCTGCCTTGGGAGGATGGCCCGGGGACCACCCAGGGGAACCCTGGCCATTGCTGGTTCCTTCATGTTTGGACAGTTCTCGCTGGAGCCAGCCAGGTTTTTCCAGTCTCTAAGTTCCAACTCACACTCCAGCTTAGCAGAAACCCCACGTCCTTTCCAGAGGTAGTCACGGGACTCGAGGAGATTGGCCTCCCCTGCCCCTGTCTCACAAGCCATGAGCCTGTCTTTCAGTCAGCATCCTCATTCCAGAACTGCCACTCTTCTAGGATTCCTGAGCCCTTGGGGGGATTCCATAGGACCCCCGTAAGGTATCAAGACTTTTCAAATCTATTTGGTCCTTACTGAGAACTTGCAGACCCAGAAAGGGCACTTCTGGAACACTGCTGGCCTTCTACAGAGTGCTAGGTCGGAGGCGGTTCTCCGGATCCTGAAACACGGTAGTAGTTCTCAAGAACTGTCAAACTAAAAGAAGGTTTCTGCTACTTCGGAACATTAGAGCTGGGGGAAACTCTTGGAAATCCTGAAGCACTGTAGGAGTTTCCTAGGATTCCAATCCCCAGAACTCTCTGAAATCTTAAAACATTGCACAGGTTGGGAGGGAATCTCTGGAGTCCTTGCCTGGGCTGGTATGTAGTGGGAAGGGGACATTCAATTTCTTAGACGCTGAAGGCCATCTATAAGTTTTTAGAATGCGGGCATATTGCGAGTGACCAGATCCTTGGACCCCAATTCTCAGCTCTTTATCAGTGTGGAGTGGGGAGCATGGTAGAAGGCGTTGCTGCAGGATCGCACAAGCTTTAGGAAGAGCACTGCTGTGGACACGTGGGCTCAAAAGACTGTGAGGTCTCCTCCAGGGAGCCACCTCCAGATGGACTGCAAGAGTCGGAGCAGTTATGAGAATGGATGAAAAGCCTATTGCCATAAGCATCCCACTGTTCAGCCACACCAGCCTTCTCTCAGCATCCCAGGTGGGATCTGCCTCTTCCTCCTCCTCCTCAGGGTCTTTCTTCTCTTTGTCTAATGACACTTTTGCCCCACATTCAAATTCAGTGTCAGCCTCCTTATGGCTGGTTTCAGCTCCTTTAGGGGCTTTCTGCCCTCTTAAATGACTTCTTCCATTTCTGTCTTCTTATTAAGCTTCCAAGGACTCATCTTCCTTCATTTTAGGCAAGCAAACATGGCAGGGCGGTTGGGCAGGCAGGCGTGGTCTTGCTATGAATCATGGAGCTGCAGCTACTGGAATGTGTAGATGGGTTAGTGCTGCAGTTAAAGAGTGGGACTGGCATCTGGAGATCCGAGTTCAAAGCCTGCCCTGGCACAGACCGACTGTGTATGCCAGGCAGGTCCCCTGCCATCACCGACATCTTTACGAGCAAGGAAGACCCTTGAAAGTCAGACAGATGTGTCTTCCCCAAGAACCTTCATTCAGTTTATGGCTCCTGTGCCAACCCATTCACTTCTTACAACAACTCTGAGAAGTAGGTACTGTTACTGTTCTCATTTTGTGGGGAGGAAACCGAGGCAGGAAGAGGTCCAGGAACTTGCCCAAGGCCACACAGCTAATAGGTGGCAGAAGTGGGATCTGCACCTGGCTGGTCTGGTTCCCGAATAGGTGCTCTCAGCCACCGTACAGGCGCCACCCAGTGGGACCACAGGGGAAGGGCAGACCGAGGAGCAGTTTCTAGCCAATGTAGCATCCTGGAACACAGTTGAGGCACCTTCCTGGGGAAGTTGGTCCGCACCAAAGCCCAGCACAACCCTGCAAGGCCACCCCACGTGGACGTACTTTAGTGAAGCACAAGAGGGAACTTCCTAAACTTTTCCCAAATTTCACCCCTCCAAAAGCAAAAGAGATCCTTTACAACTATCCAGTGTCTGAGCTGGAATCCAGAGAGTTAGAAGTGGAGCCCTGAAGCTCAGCCTTCATCTGGTAGGTGGGGGCAGGGGGAGGCAGGAGATCTGGGGGTCTCCAGACTGCAGAACCTTGGGCCCACATTCTCCCTTTGCTCAGCCTCCATCTGCCAACTTACCAGCTGCAGGAGCCTGGGCAAAGCGGTTAACCTCCGTGTCTTCATCTGTAAGGTGGGGATAAAAATGGTTTGCCCTATGAGGAGTTAATAAGTGTTCATAGGGGATGATGTGAGGATCAAAAGTAAGTCCACATAGACTGTTTGGATCAGAGTCTGGCACACAGTTGGTGCTAAATAAATGCTCATTCTTATTACTGTTATTATGACTAACAGCTGTTCTCGGCACAAAGAGTCTGTCTTTCCTGAACTGGCAGAGGAGGAATTGTGTCAGTTTCTAGCCTCTTGTTA